TGAGCTAATAGTACTTGTAACACTAACTGTAGTGTTCAGAGTTTGATCATGTAGACACAACCACTCTAGTTATATCAGGCAGGAAGGGATTTAATAAACAGAATTAGAGGCCTATGAAGCCTTTGGAAGGGCTGTGAGAGAGAAGGTAAAGGAATATTGCCAACAACCTCAGACAGTTGCAGGAATCGCAGGAATCTTGGGAAGTTTTAGGGATATTATGTAGGAAACTGTTACCAATGATGTTACTGAAGTAGATGTTTCAGAGAAGAATGCTCAGAAGCCATTTAAATCTGTTTACAAAGTCTACACACTTTTACAATACAGGTGAGAGCTAATAAGAATGTGTTGAATGTGACTTCATAGCTTGGTTATAAGAACTGTGTGACTCAATTCATGTAAAGCATTTAGAAAAGTCCCTGGCCTATAGTTAGAGAACAATAAACGTTAGCTGTCATTGTGAAGTCTGGATCACGTGAGCCTAAGACGCCACGAATTGAAATGCCTACTTGCTTCTTAAATAGTGCCTTCCAAGGTTGCTCTCTCACCCATGCATTCAAGCATCTGTACATATATCATTCAATTAATATGCATTTATTAACTACCTACTATACAGCCGGTACTGTGGTATTGCCAGAGATGCGGTGGTCAAATAAAAGCATATTTGATCCTTCCCCTCAAGGAATTCACTGTCTAGGCGGGAAGAAAGACGTGTACGCAAGCAACATTACTATGTGAATTTATATCTTCCTAGTTCTTAAAATTATAAAGCACTTTATACACTTTACAGTTTATCTTATTCTTGAACATATATTACCTCATATCATCTTCTAAATAATTTAATGAGATTAACAAACAGATATTGTTATTAATATTATGAAACTGACATTAAGAGGTGATAAAAAGATGTAGAGAGGCTGTGATATCAAGGTCAACAGTTAGCGATATGACTGGGAAGAGAATACAGTTCTCCTAGAATTATGGTGGTGGTAATTTCTCATTGTATACACAAATAAAATCATTATGGTGTACATCTGAAACTAATATAACGTTATGTGTCAATTATACCTCAATAAAAAATTAATTTAATTTAATTTAATTTAAAAAATACAATTCTCCTGATGCCTAGATGCTCTTTCTGATGGGAGCCTGATGGGTTCAGGGAGTCTTTGAAAAAGAAAAGTAGGAAGATGGTAAGATTGTTGCTGAACAGAGAAAGGAAAAAGTGCTATGTTTTCAGATTGTCTAGCTAAAACATCTGACCTTGACACTTATTGGCTATATGACCTTGGGCAACTTCCTGCCTCAGTTTCCTCATCTATAACAGGAAGACAATCATAGGACTGACCTCATAAGGTTGTTAAGAGGATTAAATCAGTTGATTTTATATAAAATGATGAGAACTATGGCTGGGACATAGTAAGCCCTCAATAAGCATTAATTTATTTTATTACTGTTATTATACAGTTATTATTACTAATACTGAAGTTTCAATTGACTCAAAAGTAGTTGGTGCTCATCTCACTGGGTGCCTTCTCTCCTCTTTTCTCCCCCTGCTAGTAATATGCAGAGCAAATGTTTCCGATTAACTGTGAGCAGCAGGTCAAACACTTCTTCAGTACAACATCGCGATGGAGTGAGAAAAGCACATGATTAGGCGTCAGGATGTCTGGATTCTAGTCTGGGTTCTGCCATTAATGAGCTATGAAACTCTAGGCGAATCACTTAATTCTCTGGACTGGATCTGTCAAACAGGGAAAAATATATTCTTTAACCTACCTCAGAAGGGTTGGAAGATCAAATGAGATCATAGATGTTAGACATTAAAAAGTTAAAAGCACGTTACAAATGCTACATGATGGTATTTTCATTAGCCTCAGAATTAGCCTCTACATCTTCTCCTCACTTACCCTTAATGACCACTCATTCTCTGAATCTTATTGTTTCTTGCTCTGAAATGTCTTCGAAATCCATCCCTTCTCTGTCCTCAATGCATCTGTCCTAGTCCACAGCTTACTCAACCCATACCAGGATGACTGTAATAAGCTCCTATTTTTCCCTAGTCCAGTCTCTCTCTAAACTAGCCATCCAATCAACTTTTTGACCCACCTCCTAGAGAAATGGAAATAAAAACAAAAATAAATAAATGGGACCTAATGAAACTTCAAAGCTTTTGCACAGCAAAGGAAACCATAAACAAGACCAAAAGACAACCCTCAGAATGGGAGAAAATATTTGCAAATGAAGCAACTGACAAAGGATTAATCTCCAAAATTTACAAGCAGCTCATGCAGCTCAATAACAAAAAAACAAACAACCCAATCCAAAAATGGGCAGAAGACCTAAATAGACATCTCTCCAGAGAAGATATACAGACTGCCAACAAACACATGAAAGAATGCTCAACATCATTAATCATTAGAGAAGTGCAAATCAAAACTACAATGAGATATCATCTCACCCCAGTCAGAATGGCCATCATCAAAAACTCTAGAAACTTCTCCAGAATGATTTTCTAAAGTGAAAATCTCATCATTTCTACAATTCCCCTCCAAGATTAGAAACTTGCAGTGGCTCCCTATTGCCTATAGGATATGCCAACATTAATTGAGGACCCTGCTAACCTCTTTATCCTCCTTCTCTACCTCATCTCCACAGACCCCATGCTCCAGGAAATCAATACTTTTTTCTCTACCTTTTATGTGTATATGCCACTGTATACACTGTTCTCTCTGCCTGCAGTGCCCTTCTTGTCTTCCATGCCTGGCAAAACCTCAGTCATCCTTCAAGGTCAGATCTAATGTCATGTCTTCAATGAAGCCTTCCCCAGAGCTCACTGCATTCTGTTTAACCCTGGATAGGTGACTTAATTCCATTTTCTTTTGCTTAATAACATTTTGTTCAACCCTAAATTTAGCCTCTTCCATATTATTTTATAATCAGTTGTTTTGGAGTATTTATCCCCAATTAGATCATAAGTTTATTGAGAACAAGAAGTTTGTTTCATTCATCTCTGTCTCCCTAGCATAATTCCTGGCACAGAGTACATGCACAATAAGAACTGCTTAAATGAATAGGTGTTAAACCAATACTTCTCAAACTATCTGTGGTAAAACACAGCTGTTTTTTTAAAGTTCCAAGCTGTCACAGCCTGATATTCTATAAAATACAATGAAAATATTATGGCAATGTCAAATCACTTTAAAAGTTACTATTTACTCTCAATTCTGTTCTTATGTCATTGCAAACATTTTGAGTAGCACTCAGCTAGACCATTTGCTGAGATGCCTCATTCCTAGCCCCAATATCTTGAACTCTAAGTTGGAAATTTTAAGAAGGATACAAGTAAAAATAATAAACAATTACATCATATATTCAGGCCACAACTCGGCAAGAAATCAGTAAAATAATACTATTATAATTAGGTACATGCACAGATGAAGTAAATCAATGGGACAGTGAATGAGAAGATGATTAAATTTAGACAGTGACAGTTTGTATGGCACCTCAAATTTAATCCAGCAAACTTTTAGGAAAAAGTGGGATTTCCAGAAACTATTCAAGTCAAAGATGGCTGGGATAGGCTGGGGGAAGTTAGGATAAAGTGAAGAGGAAGAGGAAACCTCCAGTAAACACTGTTAACATTATTTACCTGAATGCTTAATTGAAGCTTTCATAGCATCCCAATAAATTGTGGCCATTCCCCCTTTCCTATTCATTCATTACCTTCTGAGTCACTGTATTGGAAACCCTCCCAAGAAACACAGGACTCTGAGTAATCACCCTAGAGTTGGTTCTGCTCCCTGGTAACTTAAGAGCAAAAGTAGAGTTGAGGGTGTTAGTCAAAAGTTTTATCATATTGTCACTAATGAAGTATTGGCATTAGTAGACAAAATCTACTTGTATTTTAATGACTTAGAAATAACACTCCCAGAAGAATGTACAGCTTTAGTTTAGTAGTAGGATTTAGTTGCCTTTTAGGGACCTGATCCCTGAAGTCTCTTCAGTGAAATCACTTCTTTGGAACCAGAATGAATAAACTCAGAAGGTAACAGCAGAGAATGTTTAAGATTCTTCTCTCCTTCTTCTCTTGTTCATGTTTTGGACCATTTGGAGTCCCGGTTTCTAAAATGCTGAACAGAATCAAAACAAAACCCATTGTAAGAGCAAGTGAAGAACATACACCCTGGCAAGGAGGAAAGAAGCCATAGTTGTTTGTTGGAACAAATCAACATATATGTGTGGAATGGTCAGTCTTGACATGGATCTCCCAGGATGCATCTGTAACTCACTTCCCTTGAAAGACTCCAACACTTCAGTGAGCTAATGATCCCGCACAACTCTTAGAGACCTTGCCATTTTTGTTTGGGGGGCTTTTATGCTATTCAGGTGAGAAAAATCAATTTGATTCCCCAAATAATCATTTATTCATTAAGTTCCTGCCATGTGTCAGGAATCGAGACAAGTACTGAAGTTATGGAAATGAAATGCAAATTCTTCTTTCAGAAGGCTCACAGTATAATCTGACCATATTGACTTATTTTTGTCCTCATTTATTTATTTTCCCCCTTCCAGAAAAGAAAGATAACAAATGTGGCCATATTGTCATGGGTGCTACTTCCCAAATGAGGATTCATTTAAAAATATTATTTAAAATAATAATAGCTTATATATATGGCACAAAAGCCCTATGAGATAGTTACTATAATTTTCCCAATTTTATAATTGAGGAAACTAAGGTGTAAACAAGCTAAGCAAATTACCAATGCCGCACTGTGAATCAGTAATGGATCCAGGATTCAAACTTTGATCCAGGATCCATGCTCTTAACCAACAGTCTACACTGCCTGATATGAATAATAGAAATTCCTGTCTGTGCGCACTATCTATTCTAGTATATGTTGAACTCCTGGGAGCTTTCTAAAGAGCTCAGAGAACAGGGAAGATACTCCAAGCATCCCTTAACTTAAGTATTAAAAATGAAATGAGTCCTCCTGGGAAGCATGCTCCTACATGGTAAGTGGGAACAGGAAAGCCCTCTTTGGGAAATCTGTGTGAAGAAAAGTACACCCAACATGTTTCCAAAAGATCAAAAGCCTGTGACTATATGTGAGAATCTCCACATATGTCTAGTTAATTTAGGAGGATTCTGGCCTACACAGCGCTAAAACATTGAATTATTCAATAAAAAATATATATGGTTAGTCTAGTGAAATTCTCTAAAATCATGTAAACACATAAATGTGTTCTTTGTTTTTCAGCTATCTATACTGGCATTTGTTTTGAGATTTTTAGGACTATAACATGGTGAATATTGTAAGTCAAAATAAAGCTTTATGATTTTAAATGTTGCCATTCTAGTGTGAAACTTTAGTACCCCTTGAAAAAGTTTGTGCCCCGAAAATCCCATTTTTGTAATGCTGTTAAGAAACTATGCTTGTGGTGTCACCATTGAATAAAGACTAGATTACCTGACTTCTGCTTCAGTCTCAATCCTATAACTCTACTCCAAGAAGACTTTTTCACTTCAGATTGATTCTGTTTTCTGATTCCAATTCTGGGAGTATACAGAACAAAAAGGAGCCTTTAAATTCTCATTACAGGTAGTCAAGGGCCTCCTTGTAAGATCACTCTCTTTAATAAGTAAAAAAACAACTGTAATTAGAAGTTTAGCAGCACCTAAGTATTTTTTCAGTTTTTTGGCCCTTGGTTCTGATTTCTTTTCAGAACCCCCTTATCCTGTATTAGGTTTTAATGAGGATCTTGTTATAAATTCTTACTCTACTTCCTGAATTACTTGTCCATAAAGGTCTTCAGCCTTCTGAGATTTGGAGTTTGTCCTGAGTAGAGAATCCAAAGAGATCACCTACATCATTAGCCTGGATAGTTCTCTCTGCTGCCTAGCTCCTAAGACAAACCTTCCCATCCACAGCCTGTTCTCACCAAGGCCTGACAACTGCCTCATGAGTCTGAAACTATACACTGTAGATGCCCCAAATCCTGATTTGTGATTACAACTTCCTGGAAATTTTACAGACAATCCAGGAAAAGATCTTGACCTTAATAATGAGCTGGTCTGTGATAGTATGCATATCTGATAGAACCAGAACAAAGAAAATAAAATTTTTAATGGATGAAAAAGGGTGAAAACACTTTTCTTTCAGATTCTAGAATAAACCCATTTTCTCTCTTCACTATCACACCTTCCTTCCATGCAAAGGGCAAATTGTAAGGCTAAAAAAGTATTTCTGAGCTACAGGGCATTAATAAGACTGACTACTATGAGGAACTTCCTTGGCAGTCCAATGGTTAAGACTTTGTGCTTCGAATGCAGGGGACAGCATTTCGATCCCTGGTTGGGGAACTAAGATCGCACATGCTATGTGGCGCGGCCAAAAAGTAAAAAAAAAGAAGACTGAATACTATGAGATACTAACTGTTTCTCATCATAGGCTTTTTACCATCAAACATTTACTTTCTTCAGCCAGTTCAAAGTAGTTTCAGTCAAATCAATTTCATGACATTGGGTAAGAGAGAAGAACCAAATAACTGGCCTTTATTCATTCAACAAACATATACTGAACCCACATTTTGTGGGTTCACACCAGGTACTGTGTGAGGTAGTGAAAATAAGGTAGTACATAGAACAGTCAGGGCCTCGTTCCTCCTAGGGCTATAGTAAGAGAGCAGAAATTAAATAATCACACAAATATATAAATACAAACTGTGATAAGAGCCATACAAGAAAAGTTCTGAGTACTATGAACAATTTTAACAAAGAGATCTGATTTAAATTAGTGGGGTTAGGGAAGGCTTTTGTAATGAAGTTCCTTTTAGGCTGAGGTATTAAGAATGACTAGGAGTTCACCAAGCAAAAACGGTAGGAAGAACATTTCCCCCAGCAAGAACACAATGTGCAAAATCCTGAGGTAGGAACAATCTTAGAGTGCTTCATAAAGATAATATTGCTGAAACAAGGTCAGCATGAGAAGAGACTATGCAAGATAAGGTTAGGGTCAGGTCATTTAGACTCTTGTGGGTCATGGTAAACAGGTTAGATTGCATTCCAATTGTAATTAGAAGCCCTAGAGTGGTTTTAAGCATGGGAATGTTTGTAAAAGGCTGCTATGTGTAGAATAGACTATAGAGAGGCAAGAATGGAAGTAGGGAGACCTATTAAGTAGCTCTTGTGTTAGTCCAGATGTGAGACAATGGTGGCTCTTACTAGATACGTGTTGGCTGTGGATATGGAGATTTCTAGGTAGATTTGAAATATATTTAGGAGGACAAGCCAATAGTACTTAGTGATTGATTGGATGTGCAGGTTAAGGAAGAAATGAGAGTGAACTGGGCACACATTTTATGCCAAGGATACGAACAAGCTAAAGATAAACCTCTGGCTAATATCCATAGCAGGAAAGAACAATTAGTAATTCTGTGATTCAGGGATCTGATTACATTTAAGCAGTAAATTAGCACATTTTCTTTTAGGGGGAGTGTTCAAAGCATGCTTCAGGTGGAGTCCAACCTCCCTCATTTTATAGATGAAGGGATTAAGACTCACAATGGATTGTGCCACTTTGCAAATTAATCTTGTGCTGTGTATGAATGCTTCATCTTCCAAAATAGAACATAAACTTACAAACAGCATCACTTGTTTCATAGACATCTCCTCCTGATAGCACCTGATATACTACTGAGGATACAGCAAACACTCAATAAATGTTTCCCAAATTAAAATGATTTCAATTTCTTCTTCCTCAGCAGATAGAACACAACAGATATTCTGATTACAGATAATGCCAGCGAAGTGACAGAGTTCATCCTGGTGGGTTTGTCCAATCATCCAAAAGTCCAGGGTAGCAGTCTACCTGATTACATTGGTGGGTAACAGTCTCATCATTGTTGTGGTTAGAGTAGATAAGCAGCTTCACACCCCTATGTATTTTTTCTTAAGCAACTTGCCCTTCCTTGATATCTGCTACTCTAGCAATTCAGTGCCTTTTTTATTGTTCAGTGGTTTAAGAGACTACCCCACCATTTCCTATACTAGCTGTTATGCTCAGATGACCATTGCTCTTTTTCTGGGGATGACAGAGTGCCTCATCCTTGATGTCATGGCTTATGATAGATTTATTGCAATATCCAATCCCCTGTGTCACACCATCATTATGAATGACCAGGTCTGCATACAGTTGGCTGTGGTGACCTGGGCTAGTGCCTTCCTTTTAGCAGTAATACCAATCACTGCAATTCTTGCCAGTTTTTGTGGACACAATATCATCAACCATTTTACCTGTGAGGCACAGGCCCTGTTGAAGCTCATCTGGTCAGACACCCTAGTCAGACTTATTCTGGGTCTGGTCATCGGTATATTGACACTGCCGCTGCACTTCACCTTCATCCTCATCTCCTATACTCGCATTGTGGTTGTTGTGCTGAGGATCCGCTCTGCAGAGGCCAGGCTCAAAACTTTCTCCACCTGTGGATCCCATCTGACTGTGGTCACCATATTTTATGGGACAGCCACCTGCATGTACCTGAAACCTCAGTCAAGGGAGTACCGGGACCAGGGCAAAGTCACCTCTACATTTTACAGTGCTCTAAGCCCTGTGTTGAACCCTCTCATTTATACCTTGAGGAACAAGGATGTGAAAGATGCCCTAAGAAAAATAATTAAGAAGAAATAGTCCTAAAAAGGGCATGAATAGCCCACAGAGGCTCATCCAAACCAACAGCTTGACACTGACTTGTAAAAATAACAAGGTCCAAATACTAAGCAATATTTTAGTAACGTAATTATTTTCAAATGTGTTTTTTTCTATTTCCAACAGGTGTGTGATAAAGAACTTACTCTCACTGAGAAAAACATTAAACATTCACGATGTCATCCATTTAGGTAATAAATTATACAGGACAATCTTGTGGGAGAGCTTATAAAACAAAATAATAATTAGCACATTTGAATCCTGAGTAGCTTGATTTTGTTTTAATAAATGAGAAACATTTCAATATTCTAGATTCTCTTTTATAGGTGATAAAGAGCAAACTTGTAAAATGGACAATTCTTAACTCAATACTTTTTGTATGAGGTATATTATGATCCAGGCTTAGAAATGATAGATGTGAGTGGGTAGAGAGAGAAAAATTACTCAACTGCTATATAAGACTTCCACATAGAAAGTCCTCTGCTGAAGCAACGAGCCCTTCAAGACTGTGTACATACTGAGGGCCAGAACTGATGACTCTACGGAACATACAATTGCATGTCTTGATCAGTAGATAGGGCCACATTTTCTCTGCCAATGTACACTACTTCTGGATAATTGCATGCCACTTCCAAAGTTGTTGACCTCACATAGAGCAAATTTAACTCAGGAGGAACTCCTTAAAAGAAAACAAGCATGTACTGTATCTTTCGATCATAAGAATTATAATGTTCATTTTTTAAAAAACACATTGGGGGAGAAGAAATGAAATACCACCTATAATCCCAGCACTCAATGAGGCTTGCGTAGGTGTTAGAATCTGGAAGACATGTATTTAAGTCTGGTACTCACGGTTGTGTGGTGTTTAGTTAGTTAGTTTCCATCTTTAAGCTTCAATTTTCTCATCTGTAAAATGTGGATTATAAGAGTGCCTACCTCACAAACTCATTTTAAGAATTAAATAGGATAATACATGTTAGCTTCTACCACAATGACTGGCACATGGTGGACACAGAATACCCATCAGTCAAAAAAGAAAAAAACTGTCAATAACTCTCTAACACAAAGCCATTTTTGAGTGTTTGCTTATGTCTATATAAATAATGACTACATCATTTTAAAAATAATCCATGCAAATAGGATAGACTAAAAAAATATGTTCCCACTGTGTTCTTAATTTGAATTTATCTTATTAGAAAGGAGATTGAATATGTTTCTCATGTTCATTGGTCATTTGTGTTTCAATAGTCAGGGTCTTTGTTGTTGGTTCAAACTGGCAATGAACCAGTCCAATTTTGGAAACAAAATGCTACACTCAGTAACATATGACTAATAAAAAGCCACAAAATTTGTTTCAACATTGATTGACTCCATCAGTTTTCAGATACATCCTGACAGGCAGATCCCCAGTTTGAGCCATTTTATTTCACTCTGGTAAGCACTCCTGCAATTAATGCCTAATCAGTCAACAACAGAAGCTGTTGTAAATGAAAATGAAAATAATAAAACTGTGTGAATCCCAATAGAGAACTCTTTAGAAAGAGAATCTATGGTGTTATGCAAATTTCGTTGTAACATTACCATTTTAACCTTGAACAAATTCTTGTGTAAGTTTTATTCCTGGTGTTTCTAAAACTTCTCGCTTAAACTAAAGCACCCCTAAAACTAAACGGAAGGTACTAATAACTAACTAACAAGACACAGTAAGCAGATAAAGTCAAACACTAGAGGCGGGAAACAAACGTGATTCCTCAAAAGAAAGGAAAAATGGAGTAAAACTGAAAACCTAATACTTATTGGAATTTGATCATTTTCATTAGGGACTAAGAAGAGGTAGAATAGAACAAGCAATGAGATGTGCCTTTTGCTGACAGAAAGAAATTTATTGGGGAGAGGCAGGGACTTTTTTAGCTACAAGAGAAAATTAGACAGGTAAACTAATGTCTTCCCTTTTGATTACCTCAGGAAGAAGTTAGACAGGGTTCTCTCTAAAGAGAAATATGTTACATCTAGAAGTGGAGAACAAGCTGCAAGAAGACTTCTGACATGAAGTCAAGACTCTGGATGAAAAAAAAAAGACTTTGGATGAATAGAAAGTGTAAGAGATTATAAGAACAATTAATCAGTTAGAGATATGTGTGTACGGTGCCTTTATGTTAAATGTTTACTGTGAGAGCTGTTTTCTTAAAACCTTCCTTGTATTACTAAGTAAACAGGTTAGAATTATAATAAACAGGCAATACTTTGGAACTACCTATGCCTTGGGAAACTTGTTTAAATTTCTTATCTCTGCCAAACAGCACTTTTGGCTTGCAGCTGATAATGGGCAACTCTGCCTCCCTGTACACCATCTCCTCAATAAGGTGTGCCAAAATCACAAGGCGACATCTTAAAAGGTTGAACTGACCCCTTAAAAATCAACAGCACTGAGAAGAGAGCTTCGTGCTGTGTACTGGCAGCAGCAAAGTGAAGAAAATGCACTTGAGAGCCACAGTAACAACTTTTCCTGTAAGTGTTTAAAAGAAAGAATTTAAAATTTGAAGAAGGCTAAGAATATATCATTGGCTTTTGAGTATGTCAACAACACCAGTACAAAGTAATAAGAAAATAAAATTATCTGCAGAATGACCCTTGAGTTTCTATAACTCATAAAAGCAGAACTGTGAAGTCTACCATTTTCATCATATGGAAAGGAGCACACAGAAAAGTGTTCATTTATTCCTGCAATAAATGAAGTTTTGTTGAATATGATGTAAATAATATAATATGATATAAAGGAAAGCATACAATATGTACCTTTTTAGCATAATGTTTTCAAGGTTCATCTATGTTGAGTAACGTTTTATGGCTGAATGATATTCCATTGTATTGGATATATCACATTTTGTTTATCTATTCATCAGGTGCTTGTCCCTATGTTTTCAGAAATAATAATCTTCAGGATGTGAATACATGTGTCTGCAAAACTAGAGAAATAGGGGAATCCACACCATAGCAATATATAGTTTCCAATTTCTCCACATGCTAGCTAAGTCTTGTAAGTGTACAATTAGATTTTTATAGCCATCTTAGTGGGCTAAAACTAGTATCTCATTGTGATTTTTATTTGCATTTTCTTAATAACTAATGATGTGCATCTTTTCATGTGCTTGTTTTGTGAATCTTCCAACTTTGTTAGTTTTCAAAATTGATTTTGCTACTGTGGGCCCCTTGCATTTCCATATGAATTTTAGGGTTGATGGGCCAATTTCTACAAAATTCCAGCTGGGATTTAGATAGAGATTGGGTTGAACCTATAGATCAATTGGGGGAGTATTGCCCTCTTCCTATTTTCCAATATTAAGTCTTCCTAGTCATGAAAATAGGAAATTTTCCCATTTAGTTAGGTCTCCTTTACTTTCTTTCAACAGTTTTTTGTCGTTTTCATTGGACAAGTCTTGCACTTCTTTTGTTAAATTTATTCCTAAGTATTTCATCCTTTTTTATGTTATGGTAATTGGAATTACTTTCTTAATTTCATTTTTGATCATTCATTGCTAGTTTATAGAAATACCATTGATTCAGTATATTTTTGTTGAAAGAGATTAGTTCTAATAATTTTTTCTGTGGGTTCCTTAGGATTTCCTATATACAAGATAATGACACTTGTGAATAGAGCTAACAGTACTTCTTTTCCAATATGGATGATTTTTTATTTTTATTTATTTATTTATTTTTGCCTAATTGTCCTGGCAAAAAATGCAGAACAATGTGGAATAGAAGTGGCAAAAGTAGAAATCCTGGTCTTCTTCCAGGATCTTAGGGGGAAAACTTGCAGTCTTTCACCATTAATTACAATGTCAGTTGTGCGGTTTTCATCTATGGCCTTTATCAGGTTGAGTAACATTCCTTCTGTTCCTAGTTGCCCAATGCTTTTAATTTAATTTTTATTTTTTTGGCTGAGTTGGGTCATCATTGCTGCATGCTTGCTTTCTCTAGTTGCAACGAGCGGGGGCTACTCTTCGTTATGGTGCACGGGGTTCTCATTGTGGTGGCCTCTCTTGTTGTGAAGCACGGGCTCTAGGCTTCAGTAGTTGTGGCTCATTGGCTCTAGAGCGCAGGCTCAGTAGTTATGACACACAGGCTTAGCTGCTCTGCGGCATATGGGATCTTTCTGAACCAGGGCACGAACCTGTGTCACCTGCATTGGCAGGCATATTCCCAACCACTGCGCCACCAGGGAAGTCCCCTCAATGCTTTTTTATTATGAAAAGGTATTAGATTTTGTAAAATTATTTAACTGTATCTGTTTAGATGATGATGTGGCTTTTGTCCTTTAATGAATTAATACAGTGTATTACATTGATATGTTAAGTCAACCTTGCATTTCTGGGATAAATATCACTTAGTTATGGCAAATAATTCTTTTTATATGATGCTGGATTTGCTTTGCTAGTGTTTAGTTAAGGATTTGGGATCTATATTCAAAAGGGATACTAGTTTGTAGTTTTCTGGTGATGTGTGTCTGGTTTTGGTATAAGGATAATATCAGCCCTACTGAATAACTTGGGAAGTTTTCCCTTCTCTTCTATTTTTGGAAGAGTTTGTGAAGGACTGGTGTCAATTATTCTTCAAATGTTTGGAAGAATTCTCCAGTGAATCTATATTGGTTAGAACTTTTCTTTGCGGAAAGATGTTTGATTATTAATTCAATCACTTTACTTATAATAGGCCTATTTAGATTGTCTATTCCTTCTTGAGGCATTTTGTATTTTTTGGAATTTGTTCATTGAATTTGGTTTATCAAACTTATTGGCATACAATGATTAACAGTATTCCGTTATAATTATTCTCATGTCTCTAAGTTTGGTAGTGATGTCCCAAATTTCATTTCTGATTTTATAAATTTGAGTTTTCTTTCTCTTTTTCTTGGTCAATCAAGCTAAAAGTTTATCATTTTTTTTAATCTCTCCAAAGAATAAATGTTTAGTTTTGATGCATTT